TTATGATCGTTAAGAATCTTAACGATCATATTTCAGAAATTGCAGAATTATGATCGTTAAGATTCTTAACAATCATATTTCAGAAATTGCAGAATTAGATCGTTAAGATTCTTAACAGAATTATAATTGTTAAGAATCTTAACGATCGTAATTCTGCAATTATAGAATTATGATCGTTAAGATTCTTAACAATCATAATTTTGCAATTTCTAAAATATGATCGTTAAGATTCTTAATGATTATAATTCAGAAATTGCTGAGTTATGATTGTTAAGAATCTTAACGATTATATTTCAAAAATTGCAGAATTATGATCGTTAAGATACTTAATTAGTTTATTGCTAGCTAAAGATGTTATATAATAAAAATTATTAAATTTAAGTAGATGTAGATTCTTAATTAGCTAAATATAGATTGTTGTCGAAGTGGTGATTAGCAAGTTCTACTAAAGATACTATATAATAAAATTTTTAAATTTAAGTAGGTATATAAATTTATTAAATTTATATAAATTTATTAAATTTATTAAATTTATTAAATGAATATTGAAATAATAAATACTTTACAAAATTTTAAAATTTTAAAATTTGCATTATTATTATTATTAAATTGGCAATTTTAAAACGCCATTTTTAAATTTAAGTAGGTATATAAATTTATTAAATTTATTAAATGAATATTGAAATAATAAATACTTTACAAAATTTTAAAATTTTAAATTTTGCATTATTATTATTATTAAATCGACAATTTTAAAACGCCATTTTTAAAATAAATACTTCAAATATTTTCGGTTTAAAAGTAAAAAGACAAATAATAAAATATTAAAATTTTTTTTGTATAAAAAGAATACCAATTAATTTGTAATTGTAGATACAAATTCTTAGCACTATTAATGTTAATGTATTATGGTTTTTATTATCCAAAGGTTATATTTTTATTATCGAAATTGAATGTTAAAAAAAAATTTTTAAATGTTAACTTATAGGGAAAGCTATCTTTTTCACAAAATATATCGATTGTAATAAATTTTATTTTTACCTTGAAAATTTTTTGACATTATACTTGACAGCTATTCTCTTACAATAAACCCTAATTTGTTTATCGATCAATCCATTGTAATGGTTCTTGGGACTTGCGACATTTGGGTGTATGATATTCTGATACCTATACTAATTGATTATTTAAATTTAATAACAGTAGAAATAATAAATTAGAACTTTATAAAATTTTTTAAAATACATTAATATAGTAGCGAAAGTTTTTCAATAGCATTTTTTAACAAATTTTACATAATTAATAATCATATTAATATCATCGATAGTATAATATGAAATAGCATCTGCACTATAATCAATATTTTGGATTTTATCTAATCCAATATTGCTAAATAATCTAAAAATTACTCGAGCTTTATGCGTTCTTTGGCGCAAGTTCTTCCGGGTGACGCCCGAAACTAATGGCATCATTTCATCATATATTGCAGTTCGTGCAGTATGGTCTTCGAAACCATTGGCCATCATTTCACTTACTCTGTTTTCAAATACTTCAGCGTAGTTATACCAATCTCGAATTTCTATTTGCTTAATTCGTTGAAGTTCACTTTCACTGCCACAAGCCGTTGCGAATAATTGAGCTAATTTTTTTGCTATAGAATCTTCTTCAATAGAATCTTCTTCAGCACTCTCATTTACAAACACATACATATTGTCAGATGAGGCAGTGGTTAATTTTTTAATAAATTCGTCCATTGGTATCTTCTTATTAGAATTTTTAGAAGATACGGGATAGTTTGGCAACTGTTTAGCCGATACGGGATAGTTTGGCAACTGTTTTGAAGATCCTTGACTCTAAAAAAATTTTATTAACGTTAATAAATATAATTTTTTTTGAATCTGCCTTACTACAATCATTTCACTTCACTTTACTGACAGCTAGAGGTGCGATCTGTTATCCGTTTTCCTATTTAAATTTACAGATATCCGTAAATTTAAATAGGAAAATGGATAATGGATCGCACCTCTACCGACAACTTACTTAGCCGACATCACGTTAAGTAACAATTTACTAATAATATATACCAGCAACTAATAAAACGCTAATCCTAACCCTATGTGATGTCGGCTAAGTGAACTTTCGGTGAAATGATTGTCGGTGAAGTAAGCAGTACAATAAAATATTTTACCTCTTGTGAGTTAGGTTCCAAAGAGACTAAATTAATCTCTTGTGAATCAGGTTCCAAAGAGACTAAATTAATCTCTTTTTGAGATTGTTTCGATTTTAAAGGAGATAGTTCCATGTCTGAGGAAGAATTTGTTTCCGAAATTGTTTCCTCACTATCGTCAGTGAGTTGGAAATCAGGTGATCGTTCATCAATTCTTTCATCGTATAACATATTTGTATCATTTGATGCTTGGAAATTTCTTGAACTAAAATAAAATAAAATTATTTAGTATCTTTTATAAGTTTAGGTTTAATTATATATAATTAATTAATTATTAAATAAAATTTTCTTACTTTTGGCATATTGCCTCATTTCTTTTTGGCTCATTTTTTTTTGGCTCATTTTTTTTTAGCTCATTTTTTTTTGGCTTATTTTTTTTTGGTGTTAATTCGCGTATTTCTTCGTTGGATCCTTCCAAATTAAAAGCGTCTATAAATCATAAGAATTAAAAAATTTTTGAGTTAAATTATATAATATGTTAGTTTCGGTTTCTTCTATTTATGAGAATTTAGAATTATTTTTTTAATAATAATATAATTACTTGTATCATCTTGTGATAACTGCATTAACGCTCTTGCAGCTGATTCTACATTTTCATCTGCACTAATTTCAATTTCTTCTTCATTTTCACAGGGACACCCATCTTTACTAATCATGCATGACCAATGAGAAAGATGCTTGCATGTCCATATAATAATGGGTTCGTATAGATCAGACGAAATTACTTTATTGCAGATGATACAATAATCTTGCAATTGATATTCGATAGGAATTTGTTCGGGTTTATCATAGAAATATAATTTGCTCGCAAACTTTTTTAAACCTTCCATTAGACGATAATAATTAAAAATAAATTTTAAACACAACTATTAAAATATTATTATATATATAAAAAAACTAATCGAATGACATCTAGTAAATAAATAACAATATGTATATAAAAAACTATCGAATGACTATTACAAATAATATATATGATTAAACTAATAAAACAACACATATATGAAAACTATCGAATGACATATAATTAAAAGTGATGAATGATGTATATGATATAATATAAATGACATATTATATTATATATAAATCATTCGTAACTTTTAATTTTATGTCATTCGATAGTTTTCATATATGTGTTACTTATTTATCAATATGTCATTTATCTATATGTCATTCATTAGTTTAATCACATCACATATACAACATAACTAAATATATTACAACAACAACACTATTATAAATAATTAGCCTTATTTTATATGTACGATTTATGTTAATTAATATAATTTAGATTTTAGATTTTAAATAGTACGATTTATAGATTATAGATTTTAAATTAACTTATATAATTGAAATTTAATAAATATCAATATTTAACTATACTAATTTGATTAAATTTAATAACTTATTGATTGTATAAAGAAATATATAAATTAAATACCTTTTAATCCAATATGACTTCAAACAATTTATAGATTTATTTTTTATTTTTTTATATTAAATAATATTAAACAATAAGATAATGGAAATATTATAGAATACTATGAATTATTTAAATATAATCATTAACATTTTTGCAAAACTCTACAAGTACACATAAATTTTAAGTTAAATATTTAAGATTCTTCAATACCTTTATGGTAGTTAAAATGGAAATATTGAAGACTAAAGATTAATTAGCAATTATTTGTTAAGATTTTTAAC